ATTGGAATGAATTCAGCACTGGGTGGTTTGAGTGCTTGTGTTTTATTCTCTGCTGCTGGGGGTGCTATTCGGAGTTATGCGGCTTGTTTTCAGAATGAAAGAAAAATGCAACTTCTTGAAGTGCTCATCTAAAAAGATAGCTTTTCTAATTTTGTAGTATTCTGACAATAATGGCTCACACTGTTTTGATACCACATATTTTGGTTTTAATTCTTGTTGAACCAGCTTTCTGAGCATTTTGGTACCCCAACAGCTCTGTGCAAAGATTACATAACCAAAGACTAGTGTATTTGATATTGGGACATTAGGTCAGCCCTTCAGCATAAATTAGAATGTAAAAGGAGATAAATGGTTCCGCAAATGAGATCAAAACAGTTTAAGAAGTGGAGCTGCATGGTCTTATGGGAAAGAGGAAGCCTTGCTGCAGCCTGTTTGTGGCTGTCACTGCATGCTGCCGTACGTGACTACTGTGGGAGTCTGCACCAGCACGTCCCCCTTGACTCTTTGAACCGCGGGTGCCACGGCTGTAACTTGACCTCGGCTCCTCCGGCCACCTGTGCTCGCGCGCTCAGGGAAAACACTGGCTTTTGTGTGGGAGTGAGACGTCCGAACGGCAGGGGGTGGAGGTGCATTGGGGTCGGCCGTGACAGGTGGCGCGCTCTGCCACTCGGTTCCCGCTGTACGGAGCACGACTGTGGTCGGGCTGTTAGTGCAACAGCTGTACCGCCTCTCCACAGTGTGAGGCTGCCTGTTGAGTCGCATTCCCAATGAAGATGTGAGCAAAAGACACCATTTTTCTGAATTGGAAAATCTTTTCTTTTTTGGTCCTAAATGGTTTTACTTGCAGTCCAAATGCAGTTTTGCATGGCAGTGGGAAACTGGACTTCGGGGTGGAATGTGGGTGTTTCTGTTTGAGTAGCTGTATGCTTCCGTTCGCTGTGGTAATCAATCTGAGATGTGGAGCAGCACAGCGAAGTCTCTGCACGCAGAGCAACAGTTTCCTTGAGAGTCCCCAGTGAGGGTTTGAAGCAGACTACTGGGACTGGTCGAGAAGGGTCATGGGGGGCAGTGGCCTCATCTGTGTGAGCCTGGATGGAGTTGTGATGCGAGTTCTCAAGCCTGTGCGAGACGGACAGAGGTGGACGGATGAGTCATTGGCTTTGTCCTCCATATTTACACAGCTTCTTCACTACACAGTCAAACCTTTATAGATTGGATATTACTTTCTTTTTATGAGCCCTGGTTTACACTGCTGTAAGCGAGGATTTGTCAGTCGTGAGAATTGCAGAAAGGTCAATCACTGGTGGCTTGTGGTCATTAAAGTGTAACAGTTGTCAGCTTTTCATCATGTTATGTACCACAGTAAGGGAAAAAATGTGTGAAAATTAGCATATGGGATTTGGTTTTTCAGAAACCACAGAGTCGTTTTTTAAACTTGCACCATAGACATTATATGGCCTGATGTCGCTCACAAAGAGAGAAAGGGACAACTCTTAAAGCTTTCATCACAACTGTTGGTGGCCTGTGTGGTGCGGTAGGGTTGGTCTGAAGTGAGGTAGGATGAAGGTGTCGCATTCCACAGTTTGGTGAGTGTTTGTGTTAGTTCATTACAATGACCACCCATCTATCTGCCACGGAGTTTCCACTCCATCTATTCTCATTCACATTTGAGATACTGCGTTCTGCTGATCCAGCTCCTCTGTGCTCCACAGTTGGGTTCATGCGCGACTGCCTCCGTGACTGTGTGCGCATCTGAGACAGACCACAAAAATCTCCGTCTTTATTCCAACTGAGCTGTAGCTACCCGCCCGTTTCAAGGCTCACTTATGTTTTTATCAGTAAGACATGATGATGAAAAATGATGAAACTGCTGCTCTTGTGTCATCTGAGTAATTTGTTCCCTTGATAGCTTTATCTGATCCACCCTTGTGCCACCCCTGGGACTGCCCTATCAGCTTTTTCAAATCACATAAATATTGTTTACCAGAAGCCTGCGTAAATAAGGCTATTTTAAACCAGCATGATAGCCAGTGGGAAAAAAACAGGAAAAGTTTAACAGGTCATTGTGCAAGCACATCATTGTAAATGGAGCTGGTCTTTTACTGTCAAAAACATCCCTGCTATCTTGATTTGAATCTGAATAATCTGTATATTCAGGTAAATGAAGCTTTTGCATTGAGTTATTTTTGTCTTTTGCTCTGGGAAATCCACACTGTGGAATATGTGGACATATCACTATTCCTGCCCTCAGCATCCAATTTGTTAATCCTAGAGGAGCAGGGCCCGCTCCTGACCTCAGTCACCAGGGCTACAAATGCACCGCAATGCCTCCTCTTATGACCACAGAGGAGACGCATGTCCTCGGTCCCAAAAAAGGCATACTGTACTGCATAAAGCGGAAAAAAGTTCAGACAGAAGTACAGAAGTACTGAATCTCATGACCAAAAGTCCTCTCTTAATGAGATGGTTTAGGTCTGCACTATATATTTTTTCAGATCAAAAGATTTTCCAGTTGTCAACCTAAAGGCGGACTTTAAGGAGTGATTGTAAAACCAAACAACATAGAGTCTGATACAGTCTAATAGCTGTCAGCCATGTCTTATGACTCACTGTGTACATGTGTGACTCCTCTGTTTGCTTTCCCCTAGCGTCTCCTTATTTTTGCTTATTTCCGGATGTTTTTATGGATGTTTTACGGCCGAAACATTAGGCAGACCATTCATTTACACCTGCCCACAACAGTGAGCAGGTGTGGGCCCCGTAAACGTCCTCCATTTCCCCCTTTCCCCTCAGTTCCCCTTAGTCTCTGTGTTGCATATACATATGTAGACTCTTAGCAGCCCAACCACAGAGATTGTTTGTTGGTAAGAATGCTGTCATTGTTATTAAAAACGTTATTTTTTTGCTATTGAGTTTTTGACATCTATGAATCAATTTATGGATAGCAACAATCTTAAATGTTGTTTGCCCACAAATTGGCTAAATCATCTGTCAAGGGCGTTATAGGAAATATTGATGTCATTCTGAAGTCCTTCTTTTCTTATTGGCAATACTTAATTCTTTTGCCTTCCACTCTCACCCTCGTACAATGATCATGCTTTACGGATTTACGAAGTAGCTTCCTTAACAAAGTAAATTCTTCTGAGACTGCATAATAGATATTAAGCAAGGCAAAGATAAAAATGGCTTAATATTGATCCCCAACAGTTTGGTGTATGAATCTCTGCACTGTGTATCTCACCTGATTGAATAAGTTTAGATTTATCTTTGTATCCTTACTGATACACTGGCACAGCATCATAATTCTGGTAATTTGAAGGCAATTTCCTTGAAAGAAATTTCAACTTTACAGGAAATCAACTGTCAAACTAGGTAACATCCTATGTCAATAAACAGGATGCATCTCCTGTCGTAATACTTAAAGCTTTTTAAAAAAAATCTTTTTTAACTATCAAATTTTATATTATTTTTCATTTATATTCAGTTTTATGAAAGAAAAGCGTTTTTAGTGGCAAATGATTAACTACTACGGGCCCAGAGTAAGATCAAGTAAAACTTATGTTTTTTGGTTTTTTTACCCCATGAGTTTTTTTTTTAAAGAAGAAGGGAATGTACAAAAAGAAGAAACTCTAACCTCACAAAAATTATAGGTTCAATGTCGACATAAACTCTGTACCACACAGAGAAAGACGAGTGTATATTTGAATAGCGGATATGTGAGGTATGTCTGCTTCTGTTTACATAGCAGATTATAGAGTAGGCATAAAACTAAGACTAAATAAGACTAAATATAGATCGGATATCAGACAACATGTGGTGTGAGCAATTGATATACGCTGGTCTCTATCGCTGTTCCCTCTTTGTTATGTCTCCCATGCATGTCCATCCATCCATCAACCCACCCATGCCTCCGTTCAGTGGCTACAGTGTGGGAATTTGACAGGCTAACTTTGTCAGCGTGAGTTACCGTAGTGTGTGTGTGACCCCACAAACGTTTTGCGACTGCAGCTTTTGACAGTGGGTCTTCTTGTCCTTGTCAGGTCATTTTGATGTCTCCCTCTAATGACATCTCTAAATATAAGCCAACTTCATTACGTGGCCTCACTACTGTCTCTGTTTAAACAGCCCGACTTAATATGGTCTTCACATTTTCACACACACAGTGTGCATTCCCAGTGATTGTGTTTTTCTCCCCTTCTTTACCCTCGAACAAGGATTTCCTGTGTTTAGGACAAATGGGACAGAGCTTCTTTTCATGTTTCCCCAACTGTTGTCTGCTGCCGTTCTGTTGTAAAAAAAAAAAGAAAAAAAAAGATTTATCACATCTTTTATTTTTTTGTGTCTCATTTATGTTTTTCGGCAAATTCTGTGCTTTGTCAGCATTGATTACTGTCTATCCGTTCAAGAAATCTGAATTTCAAGAAAAACACATAAATAAGTCAAAGTTTTTATGCCCTGCTTTGAAGATGCCATCCCTCATATGACACCAGTTTGTTGGAGTCTGTGGAAGAATCAGGTTTTCCCCAGACAATGTTTATGGGGAATTCTATTGTAGTGTGTGACCCGAGCCTCCAATCCAACGCTGATGTCTTCCTTTCTCTTTTCTTTTGAAAACCAGCAGAATAAGCTGAAACCTTAGTCCATTTGTATTGTGGGGACAAAGAGAGAGCATTGTGGCAAGAGGGGTAGAGTGGAGCTGCCGGTGGAGGTAGGGGTGCAAAGGGTGAGGTGGGGGGGGTATAGAGGAGTTGGTCAGAGTCTGGTGCACCCCGACTGGAGTGTTGGGGGTCGTAGCAGTTTAGGTTATTTAGTGGATGCATGTGTGTTTTCTGAATGATGAGCCTGGAGTCGGTGTAGCGTGCATCTATCCATCTGGAAGAGGCTTCAGTAGCAGAGCTGGAGCCGGAGGGCGGGGGAGGTTATGTAGGAGGAAGGGAGGGTGAATGACGGGGAATCCAGCGCTCTGCCTCTCTCACGCTCTGGAGTTTAGTCTGTTCCAGCTGCCGACACCACAGCACACAGATAGTGGCAGAAAAGGGGAGAGAAATGCTTCTGGACCTGTTGATATCACAGAAATGTTTTCCGGTGCTCAAACCGTGGACTATCAGCTGGGCCAACTGGAGTTAATGAAACATAATTTCCTAAAGTTTCGGGTTTCTTCTGGTGCCTAAATGCTGTCACTTGGCAAAATGCACTCCAGAGCGAAGTCTCGCAGTTGTGACAACTACCTGAGTATTAAGGTATGATGTTCAAATAGTTTGGAGTATGAACTTACTGACTTAATGGAAGTTGTGTGTTGTTTTGATTGTTTTATCTTTTAATATGTTTAATTCTGTGTTGGATGCAAACCCTGGTTGTCTATGTTCGGTAACTCTGCACTCTGTGTGCAAGTGTGTTATTGTACACATTCCAGAGGTGGCTGTTTTTGATGCTGCTCCGCACAGGCAGCTGATATTTTGTCTGCTTCTTCATCAGCCAAAACATATCAGGTAGACTTTTGCACATGCAGTGTGTGAAAGTGGGGGATGAGAAATATTGTAAGCCGAGTCAGTTAAAAGGATGCATATATCCCTACATTTTAATTCAGTTCAAGTAATATATAAAGTGACATTTTCAGTGACATATGAACCAATCAAGCACGATAAATGTACTATGCATTTAAAATCTTGTATTAATTATTCAGTTTGTATTGGCTGGCCTGTATACATTTTCATTCGTCATCTCAGATGAACGGTGACACATTTGCATCCTCTCTAACTTGTTGTTTGTTATCGGCCTCCCACTTGTTTTGGAATGTAGCCATCCTATATTTACCCTCCTGAAGGTATCAGCAGACTTTGTTAGTCTCTTTTGTCTCTGCTGTCACTGCTCATCACTTCACCAGTTGGTTGAAGGACCCGCATTCGCTGTTTGTCTTCTTTGTGGAGTTTTCTTTGTGGACCCAGATAGTCAGTAATCTAAAATGTTTGTTTAAAAAAAAAAAGCTTCATGAATTAATGGAGTAAACAAGATCTGCTGGTGCTGCTCAGGAACAACGTCCTGTCACTGCTGTTTACATCCTGTTGGTCAAAGTAATTTGTTGCTTGCTAAAGACATAAATCAAGTCTTTGTGATAAACCCCAAAAACTAGACCATCTACCAATATTGCCTGCGGAAGTCTTAAAATTTATTTAACCTGATTAATGGTGTTATGCTCTTTAAAGTTCATGTGACTAAATTTGTAAAATAAAGAACAAAAACAATATCTAAATGGGAGTCAAATAGTTGCTTTTGCAGCGGACGTGAAAGAGCGCCGGTTTATCACTTCAACTCACAAATCTATCGACATTGGTGGTGGTATCATTGTGCTGCTCTTATCTGCTCAGCAAACATTGCAATATTTGCACTCTTTTTAAAAAGCTACATTACCATATGATGCTGTTATCTGTTGAGGAGTATGCTGTTCAGTGTTCATTCAGATAAAACTGTCAGGCCTTTGTTCTTTCTCAAACGTTTGCATTAACAGAAATCTTTGATAGCATTAGGTAAACTTACTGATTGGCTTACGAGGGTCCCAATTTATACACTGGGCTTATTCTGAATACTTATCTTAATCTCTCTCCTTCCTCTTCGTCTCTCATGAGATTGGATTTCTGTGGGTACAGATCAAAAGCAGAATCAGTCTGCTCAATGGGGAGGTCTCACCAGGCTCCTTTGTTGGCATCCTGGCACCTGGCAGCGGGGCAGGTCTGAGCAACCTGTGGCTTTTGTCATCCCTCTACCTCTGAGGCTGTAGCAGGTTAGTTAGTGAGCCGCCTGTATGGGGGCTCCAGGGCTCTCCTGTTACACTCCCCTGGTGGCTTCATGCTCCACTGGAGGCCTGGTAGGCAACATCTTTTGTGTCCCTGACCCAGTAAATGTGTCAGTGACCACCTCTTGTTAACCCTCTCTGTGTTTCTCTCACTTTTCTCTCTCTGTGATGCACTCTTTTGTTCATTCCGTTTCTCATTCTGTCCCTCTTTTCTCTCTGACACCTGCTTTAAATGGAGATGTCTTGTTTGAATTAGCAAATGATGTGCACAAGAATTTTTGGGATGTATTTCATAAACATACAAAAGACGTGCAGCAGGTACCACAATAAATTACCATAGTTGAAAATTGAAAATCTTTTCAACTTCCTCTTCATTCTGACATTCGTCCAGACTTTGCTTCCCTCACAAAAAGATGCCTTCATCTAGCCTACATCTTCTCCATGTTCACCTCTTGAACAGCTGGTTTTACTGACAGCTTAGACAAAAGTGTTCCACCTGGAGCTTAAAGCCACTAATTACCACCTTGGCCTTCCAGCACGTAGCCAGAGGCTTACAAAGACCTGGCATCAGAAAGGGTGGGACTTCCCACTTTGCTCTTGTCCCAGCTAAAGCTCTGAAGTTAGACATACACAACTATACACACTGCATTCCTCTGTTGCTCAGAGCGGATGGGAAGCTCAGCTCTGGTGGCTAAGCTCAGTTATTCTGCTGAGATATGCAAATATGCCTCCCCGTAGACAGGTGACCTTTACGGAAACGGCTCAAAAGCTTCATGAGGGCAGGAGGATGTTGATCTAATGAAACAACTAAACTCTAGATGGTGTAATGTGCATTTTTCTCCACCTTGACGGTAAACTCTGTGTTATCTGAGTGTTTTGGACTTGTTGTGGTTCTGCTTCAGCACTCTTGTGCTGCCACTCCTCCAAAGCGATGACGAGTCATTGAATTGTGATCAAGCTCAGCTCACTGTTCTGTTGACTAATTGTTCTTTAAAAACCCGACTCTGTCACCAGGGTTGTTTGTTCTTCCTTGGAAACCTTACAAAAAAACTTGCTAGTCTGTCCTAGCAAGGGCTTTCCTCCCATTGTTAGCTCTCCACCAATAAAACTTCATGTTATTCTTCTCCTCTTGGGTGCAACGGTGACTAATGTCCTGAGAAGTTTTTTGTCTCTCTAAAAGCAAGCTGACTGCTAATGGAAGTGGGTGTTTTGTTCCTGGGCACCAACACTGTACAGCACATGCCACTTAGAGAGGCGGAGTGCACAATGAGTGCCTTGTAGTAGAGTCGTGGCATGTGTACGAATGAGATGAACTGTACTCACTCTCCTCTAATTGATGGTGCTGAGCTGCTTAGATCAACAAGACAGATCCTACAAAGGGTGAAACATGGGCTGTCTGACCGGCGAAATTCAACAGAGCAATTCTTGATTCCCTGGCAGCGTTTTTTTCATGCACTTTTATTGTTATGGAAATGCCGCATAAGCCTCCGAGTGAAGTAACAAAACAGTTGTGAGAGGCTTCATACTGGAACACTGCGTTCTTCAACATGTTACATGGTTGTCATAGAGTGCAACTGTCCCAAGATTATCTATTTATCTGACTGCTTATTGTCAGAGGCAGATGTCTCTATCCCACTGCTGTGTTCCACTCAGGAAGTGCTGAATGGCCTTGGCTCTAACGAATCAGAGGAAGGCCATAGCATGAACCGTGAACATAACCACACATTTACGGGTCAACCTTTTCCCAAAGGCTTTGTCTCTCCATCAGAGAAGTTGTAACTCGCCGTGTTGGACATGTTATGCGGGATGGGTGGTGGTGGCCCAGGTCACATACAGGTCAAATGATACTCTGGGATGACAGGGTGGTTATTATCAGAGGGTCACGTTCCACTATCCCGGCCGTCGCTGGAGTCCAGTCTGGACTTTCCACTTTGTCTGTTTGTGTCGGCTGACGGTGATGTCACTCTGACCAGGTGTTTCCCCTCGCTGGGATGCTCAAACTTCCTGACCGCCTAGCTAAAAGTGGGATCGTGCCCAGCTAATCACCAGCACTATGAAATATGTACAACAGAAAACACAAAAAGATCAGCTATCAACTTCATTACAAACTGAGTCACTGTTATAATCAAAGGATTGTTTTGCCCTCTGTTATGCTTTAAATTGTCAATAATATAAGGGAAAAGATGGTAGCATGTGTAAAATAAAACTCCTCCTTTTATTTGGTCAAATAAAAGAGAGTAGAAAAAACACAAATTGAATGGGAAAGATCTGTTATTCCAAAAGACCCTGGACTTTGTGGGGGTTTTCTTCCGATAAGAACGTTAATGATGACATTAATATGTGATTGTCTCATTTTTGTCAGGATGCTGAGTCTTTGGACAGCTGCATCCAGAGCACCTTGTCTGCCCTGTACCGTCCCTTCAGTGCTACAGCCACCACTGTCCTCTGGCAGCTCTTCAGTGTGGTAGAGAGGCAGTACCGAGGGGACGGCCTCCGCTGCCTCATTGACTTCTTGCTTCCTGCTAAAAGGATCCTGCAGACCATCCAAAAAGAAACCTGTGTGAGTGCCTGATGGACACACTTAAAATAAGGAATCTTGTAATTTATTTTAGCACAACACAATGCGAGATAATGATAGATACCTGATTTATTGCAGGAGAGTTGGACAGGCTTAAGTCGGATCTCTTTCTGCCAGTAATTGGCGCAAGTAATTATGAGGATGAAAAGCCATGCTTGGACAACATGGAAAAAGCAAACCGACACACGTTTGTTTTATTGTCAGGTTCTGTCTGATAAGTCAGGGAAATGAAAATTGTACCAAGAACAATGTGAATGTTTTTTGATGAGTCAGAAAAGTGACAGTGAGACAGAGTTGATGATTGTCCTGAATAAAAAGAACTGAAAAGCATCCATCTCTCTGTGAATAGGAAAAGTAAGGTCTGTTTGAGAGACTGCCATCCTCTTGGCTCTGAAGTGAAACTCAATATTCCCTGTAAGAAACTTTGATTGCCCTTGGGTTTGGGCAGTAAGACTGAAACTTTATTCCTCTGTATTCATCTCTCCGGTGATTACGCTGCGGCGATAGCCACAGAGGAATAGTTTCACCTAAGCCTAGCCCCTGAGAACAGCTCCCTGTGCTTGTGAGTCTTTGTGTTGCAGGCAATATGAGAGGCTTCAGAGGGAGATCACATCCTCAGCTGTTCTCTTGGTTTTCATAAGAGAAGATAAAAAGCCAACCCTTGAGCAGTGTATCTTTCTCTCTTATCTTTTCTTTTTTTCATTATGCCGTCACTGCTGAGCTTTGTGTTGCGGTTGCCGGGGAACCAGGCCTGAACAGACAGGTTTTCCTGTTTAGTTGAAGATGAGAGTGATTTCATTCGCCGTGTTCTGAAAAAACATTTGACTCAATTACAGCTGTTTGAACACAAAGCGTGACGCGGACTAAGCCAATACACAGAGATGTTTCCTATGTTTCATCGGAGTGCGTATTGACACACTTCTCTGTTCTCTTTAAGGTGAGGTACAGAGGCCTTCTGTTCTACCATGAGGGGTGGCCTCTCTGCATTCACGAGAAAGTCGTCCTGCAGCTTGCTCCTCTGCACAAAGTTCGCCTAAAGCAAGGAGACTTTTACTTACAGATTGTTCCTCTGGGACGCAAGGCTGTGAAGCTAGTGATAAAATGTCTGTCAGCCAGTGGGCAGGCCATTGCAGAAATCCCCATTTCAGAGAGCATGTATGGCAACGTCTTCACGGCTGAGTTTTTGCAGAATGTAACGCGTGACCGGAACCTGCACCCACTACAGAACTGTCTGCTCACCACTGGCTCGGCTGTGTTCCGGACACCGTGGAAGAACGTGGTCAACCCGCTCTTCGTTAGCAGCACGGCGGACGCCATCATGCAGGCCCACTGCAGCAGAGGTGGCTTTCGTGGCCATCTGAGCACCTGCAGCACCAGCGGCTCCACTGGGACTCTGGACAGCCACCGCAGCTCCAGGGAGTCCCTGATCTCTCAGGGAGCTGATTCCATCTTTTCGGAGCCCCCCCTCCCTGACAGACACCTCATGGACTCCAGGAGCGACAAACACAGCCTCACAGTGGAAGATCCGGCTACCCCCGTCATTAAAATTGAACGATCAACTGAGGATTGCATCAAGGAACCAGGCGAGGAAGGCAGTACCGAAAGAGAAAGAGGGACAGGATCCAAGATTCTCTCGTTTAGCACAGACCTCAGTGATCCCGGTCCGCGACGGCGCATAGCCAGAGACCCTGTGAGCTTTGAGAGCAGGAGACTTTTCAGAAAATCTTACATGGAAGCCCTGCAGAACCCCATGAGCATTGGGTCCAGCTCTGAATCTATCCTGGAGGAGAGCCCGGACCACGACAAGGGCCTGAGGGAAAGGACGGTCACACCTGGCAGCAGCCCCGACACTCGCACCTCTCCCAGAGAACACTTATCTCGCCGGTTCGGCAGCCGGGGCTGGCTCGGCGGAGACGACTCCAGGCCCAGCACACCTTTGTTTTACTTACAGAGGGGGTTGCGGAGCGCTGAGAGGCGGGCAGACAGGCGCTCCAAGTCTCTTGAGAGGACTAACAAAGCAGGCCAGGTCAAAGGTCACCGAGAACGATCCTCTTCTGGAGGCTCGACAAGCATCTCCCCCAAAAAGCTGATGAACGGTTACGCTCTTCGTTTTGGGAAGTTGGATGTAGAGGCTGTGCTGACTGGAAATGAGAGACGAAACAGCGAAGAAGATTCAGGTATGTTATAAAGCACAGCTGTGTACCTCCTGCCCTGCAAGGGTGCAAAACTTACCCTTACAGTCAGCTCCTCTGATAATACACGGCAATAAGAATATTGTTACAACATGCATGGAAACATTTTATTTGAAAACTTACTCCTGCAAAAACCTGTAAAATCTCAAAGAACTCGGCTGATTATTTTCATATTCATATACATTTTCTTTTTAAGCAAGAGGTCAGGTGTCGGTTGAACCTGTGCCTGAACTCTGGACTGATTGTTAGAACCATCCCACCTCACACACCACCACTATTGAGTTTTAAAGCTGGGGATTTGTGTAGATCATCCCATAACAATGACATAAATACAGTTCTTCTTGTCACTTATATTATGAAAACATCAAATCCAGCACTGAAGTCTCCCTTCTCACAAGCTCCAAACTTACCATTAGGCCGATGTGGAAAGTTGTAGACGTTTCTGTAGAGCTTTCCTCACATATTCTCTGCTGCTGTTATATTGTAAATACTCCTGTTTTAATGTGCTACTTTTCTAAAAGTTTTCCTACTTTAGAAAGCTGCTTAAACTTTTCCTAAATAATGAATCTGTGTGCTTTTGCGTCACTGCTGATACAAAATGTGGAGTTAAACTTGTCAACAGCGATTGGATCATCATGTAAGTCCATGACTCATCGCTGGACAAATAGATGTAACCCGAGGTTGTGAAAATCTCTTTTATACCAATGATGGTTGTTTCTCACCAGCGTAGGCTGTAATACCCTGCAGCAGGGCTAGTTGCGACAGTTCACCAGATTCAGTCAGAGTGGAGACAGCGCATGTCTCTGGAGCATGACTGCTTTGACTAATGACAGATTGCCTTTGAAAGCCTACGCTCTGTGTTCTTTGGCACATTTGGGGTACAGGTATGGCCCTACCCTGGAAACAGCACTTTAGCCACAATCCTGTTTTCTTTACTGCTCTCAGTCTGTTTTTCCTTTGTGGTGGTCTATGCTGGGTAGCTCAGGAAAGAATTGATGTGACAGTACCACCCAGGAATTAGTGCTGTTTTTGAAACAGATGTGCTTCTTCCGCCAATTGAAATAGGAGGTGAAAACTGAGTGACTTTCATTGCATCTCTTATCGGAACATTGAACCGACTCAGAAGCCAGACCACATTATTATTTTAATGAGCTGAATGAAATATTTCAAAATACCAGAGGTAGATTTAATCACTGTTAGGTTCGTGAAATCATCTCAGTGGGGATCGTATTTCAGCTTTTGCAAAGCAGGTCTCTCACAATAGTGTGTCAAAGGGAACAAAAGATCCGGTAAACGAACCACAGGGACCCCAAATTCCCACAATAAGGTCACCCTGCAGAGTTACTGAGGATGGGGGATGCACTGGTCCCAGATGGATTCCTTCAGTGATTTAAATATTTCCTCTGTGAATCATTTAGCCACTTTGGATCCATGAAAAGGGAGTCTTTTAAGCTGCTGTCAATGGAGAGCCTGAACCACGGGACCTTACCTGCTCTGACGTATGCTATTATTTATGATCTTTAAAGATAGCAGAAGAATGGGCTGAATTACCTTTAATGTGTTCCAGCAAATATTTACAATGTCAGAGTCCTGTAATCGATGTGATCAGTGCATCGAGACCACGGCAGACCGTGCTGATTTAGCCTGTTTGATGGCTTAAAAACATGACAGGGACAATACGCAGGAGGCTTTGCCTTAGGTTTGTCACTTCCCCTCAAAACAAAGCATTTTAGGAAACATGCAGCAAACAGAAGCCTGAGTCGCACAGGAAATGCACTAACTGTTTGAAGACAATAGAGGCTGAGCTGGGAGGGTTTACTGTCACAGAGCAGAGCAGGACAATACAAGAGGCCTCAAACTATTTAAAAAGACAACACACTGCAGGCATCCATCAAATACTGATGAACACCTGTAGAGCAATCCAAAGATTTGGGTGAACAGCTGCCTCATGTAAGAATGTTGTCTGTTAACCACTTTTTTCACAAGTTACTAGTATAACAACCTAGAATGAAGCTTGATTACAGGCACAGATCACAATAAAAAGGTTACACTGTGTTCTTTTCTATATTCAACCACTATATTGATACGATTTATTCAGCTGAGTTTTTTTTCTCTTGTATTTTACGTTTTGACACAATCCCGTCACTGCAAGTGAGCATGAATTCTGGTAGAATGGCTGTAGCTGATTGAGAGACAACACATTTGTTTGCATCACCTCTCAGCTACCATTAACATGTGTGTGTATTTTCCCAAGCAACTTGAATCTGTCTTGCCTTTCTAAGCCTGTCTATTATCATTCTTTACTGTTTATAACTTAGTTATTGGCTCTGAAATTACTGGCAAATCAATAATAACTTAAAATAAGATTAAAATGCATAAATCTAATCGGGATGCATCTAGTTATTTTAGAGCCCTTTCTATTCTTTCAATCCAATTTTAAACTAGTTGATTAGGTCATTATTCAACAACTTTGACAAAAGTTTTTTTTTTTTTTTTTTTTTAACCGTTACAAGTTACCGGTAACTTGTTTTTAACCGGGAAATATTGCACTGTAGTTTTTTCTGTTTAAAGAACTGCCCAAAGTGGGAAAATTGTGAGCCATGTAGTTTGGAATTACAAAATATTTCTTTAAGCTGAATAAAAATCAACCAAATCCCCACATTAAAATTGCATGTCATTTTAGGATTAACAGCCACTAAATGAGGAAATACCTATAACAGAATTTACTGTCGACGTTATCTTTGCAATCAAAGCATTGAAGGTGTGTGCAGGTACTGCATTCTGCTGGAAGATTTGCTGCCTCGGGAACAGAAACATGGCTGTAAACTGTGGTTCCTCTTGGGAATGTCTTGCACATCATTCCTGTAAATAGAGCCTCCAGCTGTGCTGGGCTCAGTAGGAGGAGGAGAAGAAGATAGGAAAGTCTAATAACACCAAAGTTAGCCATGACTAAGTCTGACTAAACACCTGGACTCCTTCATGACTCAGGGTGAACTCACCAATTGAGCACACCTATCTCACCACTAATAAACACCTGTTCCACCTGAGGGACTACTATGAGGTGAAAATGTTCATGCTGGTGAAAGGAAGAATTTGAAAGAATGATCTTTATTTCTGAGCGCAGGTAAACATTACTTGGGAATCCATCACAGCCGTCATGCTCACTAGTTATGTCTCCACAGGACAACGTGAGGACAGCAAAACAAGTGCCGAAGAGTCGGACAGTCCCAAAGTTGCCGATGGGAAGACCATCGGGTCGGCTTTGGATCAGAGATCTTCCAATGACAATAGTTCAGCCTTCTGCAAACTGATGACAGATGTCAGTCAAGAGCTGCTTACATCAGGAGCTGTGATTTTGCCAGGTGGGGCTTCTCATTTCCACCTGCCAGCTTGTGTCACATGTCTGTTTCGTTTTATCAACCTAAGTCCTTCAGCATTTTAATAAGTAGTGGCACATAAATGTTGGGAAATATTCCCCATATTTGATGTGCATTGCCTACACATAAACTATCAGATAAGGTTTTTGTTAGCCTTTGCCTTTCTGTCCAAATCAGATATCATACAGTACTATATTTGTTTGCTTCTTGGAATGTAAGTGTGTATTTTTAAGAAAGTCATTAAATACAAACATGCAAATTGTCCTCATCTGAAAAATAATAGCAGACCTCACAAAGAATGCTGCTCAAGTATTTTCAAACTGATTTAAACCTGTTTTGTAGTAATGGTTCTTTTACAGTGGCTCATCTCATTTTTGGAACATCATCAAGACAAATCAGTTTTGTTCCTGCTGTAAAGTATTGACCACCCTGCTTTCTTTTCCAGGAAACAGGGATCGCAGTGGGAGAGCTGTGCTGCAGGTGTGCACGAGGGCGCAGGTGTGGGCAGGAGAGACGTGCACGGTCAATGACCTAACCTGTTTACTAGGTTACTACCACTCCACTCTGCGGTACGTCTCACATGCTGAGGATTAAGCACCGTTATGCAACTATTAAACGAATACACTGGAAGTGCAGCTAACTGTTACAGTTTTAATTGTACCTCCAAACAACAAAATGAACAACATTACATTTCTACACAAAATGATTCATTTACAGTGTTCCACCATACGTGTCATATGTTGGTAGGCATATGAAAAAGCACTTTAAGGAATGATTATTGTTGTTGTTATTATTCTAAATTAATTTAAAATACATACCAAACTTCACAAGTCATATCACGTTTTTGTGTGGCATATGTCATCAGGTGTTTAACTAGACGGTGCCTAAACTGTAATACTGTGGTTTTAGGAAAGAGAGGCGTGATCAAGGCCTAACTGTTGTAATAGACAGTAGAAGGCAGCAGCCGGTTCCTGCTCTGTTGTCATCTTTGTCTGAATTTCAGGTGAGCCCTCAGAGGAAAGTATGTAATTACCATCTAACACGCCCAAAGGCCTTTTCAACCCTGTGGAAGTATCTGCTGTTCTCTTTAGTTGCTATGTCTGTCATTCCTACACGTTTGCTATTGCTCTGCCTCTCGGTCCCTGACACTGTGTGGTTTGTGTTTTTGAGGAGGCACACCTTAAAGTCGTAGTGCATGCACTTCCAAGACATTGTGTTTTTTTGCGGCCTCAAGGCTCTTGTGCAGAGGCCTGTCCTTACTTGTCTGTTTTTAACCACCACTGGGAGCGGGTTGGTCGCATCCAACTTGCAAGATGCATATCATCATTCAATGAGTTTCTGTTAGAATGGAAGACTGTAAAGTTTTTAAATTCAGTTTTTTTGTACTCCAGTTCATGACAGATACATATTTGTTGTATAATTTACTATTTACCGAGTGTAACATTTCTTGTGCTTGTTGATCTCAGGCTTTAGTACCAAATGCACTTTACTCCATGCTGTTCCTTTTGGACAAAGACTCATCAGCTAAGCTCGACAGAGACGTCAATATTCAGGTAATAAAAAGAAGAAATGTCATCTTGTTTATTTGATGAGAAGCTTTGCAATGCCAAGTTCAAGCAGCTCTGTTTGTGACTGGATTTAAAAAAAATCTCATGTCTTTACTATGAGCTCTGATGCCAGCGATTAAAGCTGAGGAGAGATTGTGCTGTCGCAACTTAACATATCTTTTGCCTCCAGGCACCAAAAGTGGCGCTCTTTGACGAAGAACGCGATCTATGTCTGCCTTTTTTTTCCTGTTGCTTAGACTGAGACGCTGACATCCCTGAAGGCCCTGTTGAAGCACATTGACCCAACCCAGCTCACAAAAGACCTGGAAGGCACCTTCAGCTACGACCACAGCCACTGGATCAGCTTCAGACAGGTGGGGGGGGTGACGGATGGTAGAATATTAGACATATATCCGCAGACTCAGCTTGGCTTGAAAGATGTGTTTAGTCTTTGTTTGTTTCTTTTTAGTCTACGTTGTAATATAGTTGTAACATGAGAGAGAAAAAAAGGATAGTTCTGATGGCTGTTTCACTGAAGCAGTGCCCAGTTACAGGGAAGTAACAAGAAACGGCAACTGTGAGCTAGTTGAAACACGATGAATTTCGCATATGGCAATAGTTTTGATTTGCCTGTGTTAATGCTTATAATCTCCCTCTGTCTATTTTACCCTCTTGTTGTTTTTCTCTCGTAGAAAATTGAACCTTTTGCCAGCAGCTGCAGTGCAGCCATCGCCTCCCTTCAGGACTCCATCAGCACACTGAGCACCAGTGGGAGCCTCAAGACCTCTAAGGTCAGAGCCAGACGGTGCTTTCGTCTTGTTTCAGCCTCCCCTCTGACACACAATAGCTGCTTGGGTTTTTTTGTTTGTTTTAACTGGCTGAAAGAGCTGTGGAGTTATTTTGGTGTTCCTGTCACTGATGATTGCTAAGATCAGATCAATAACCCGGACAGTATTTTGTTTGAAATTGAAGAGCTTCAGGACCAAGGCGTTTCTCTCCAAGTCTAGTCAGATCTGTCTGAATGACAAAATAAGACAAGGGCAGAGATGGGAGACAGGAGTCTTAAAAACATTTTTTAAAAATTGTAAATACATTGTAAACTATGTTCCCATTGTTGTTCGTTTCTATTGTACTGTATGGACCGATCATCTGGGATGATCAATATTGTGATTTTGTGCATGTAAAAATTCAGCAAAGACCCTAAAAGGCACAACAAAAATCAGTCGTTCTCTCCAGATTATTTGAATTAAATAGCAAGATATGTGGTATACTTTTTACATCTGTATAAATTTGCAGCCGTTTTTTGTTTATCAACCAGGAGGTGTCTGAGGTGTTAGAAGAGCAGAGGCGTCTCATGAAGTGTGTGCTAGAAGACACCCGTCTAAACAGACTGCGTCTAGAAGGAGGAACTGTACTGGCTCGTATCAGGAAGGAAGAGGCCTGCGAGAATGAAAACTACAGGTACAGTTTGTCCTCAAACTGTCTGGCCTTGACTGTTAGAATGAAACTCCTCATATCCTGTGAGAATATCTTCCAATAACAATAATATTATTATTTTTCAGGGACGCTGTTGACATGGTTATTGCACTTTACAACCAAGTAGATGAAGAGGTTCATAAGCTTGTGATCTTATCCAACAAGTCACAGAAAGAGCTGGAGAGCCTGTTGGAGGTGCGCAAGTTTGAAGAACAAACACAACAGGTGAGGACAAATCTTTCACCACATTGTGACAGCGTCACCAAATCTGCTGATCTGTGGTAGCCTTGTCATCTCTTCTGATTGAATATGAATACTCAAACAATTCTTTATCCTTTTAGATAAAACACTGGTTTAGTGTAGCGGGGGAGATGCAGCTTGCACCTCTGGAATCGATGTCTCTGTCTGTGGTCAAAATTAAGGAGATGAGAGAGAGTTTGGACCAATTTCTGGAGGAATCAGTGGTAAAAAAAAAAAAAAGTGCTACAGTTGATTTTCATGTCAACTTTATTACAGTTATATGCAACTTTGTAGTTAGAGATTAATTCATCTTTTCCTCACAGAAACAGCAGAGGCTTGGAATACAACTAGTAAAAGAGTCCCCGGAGTCCCTCCCAGGTTTGGTTCTTCTGGACTTCAAACAACATCTGGGTTCCGTCTTAAGCAGAGTGGAGCAGAGGAAGGCAAAACTAGATATCCTAACAAACCTGTATGAGTTTTATGACTCTGTAAGTATTAAATAAGAAATCAACCTGTACACAAAAGCACAAAGCATAATATGAGAATGTAAAACAGCTCTCTCTCTCTCATCCGTAGGCAAACCAGTGGATGGACCACTGTCAGGCGTATTTCCGTCAGGTGAGCCTGGACAGCTCGGACGTGGCCTTCTCGCCCTCTGTGGTGCAGGCTCTGCAGGACTATTGCGCGGAGGCGTCCAAGTTCTCCATGGACAACTTCAGCCACCTCAACAGCATGGTGCTGTCGCTGGAGAGTCCGCAGCAGCTGCAGCAGTGGAAGGACGTGTGGCACAAGTGCCAGCAGACAAAGCAGCAGCTGGAAGACACGTTAGCCCGGGCCTTGACGTCGGCCTTGGACTCCACGAGCGTGGACGCGGCAGATCCCCCGAAGGCCGCCGACAGTCCAGTCCCCCCGGAACACCAGGGGGCTAATGGATGCGTGCGCTTACCCAGCGCGATCATGTCTCTGACGTTTGAGGACCGGAAGACTCAGTCAGCAGCCGGGCCTGTCTCCAAAAGCCCCTCCGGTTCAGTCTCATCCTCCATGCACTTCAGTTTCCCCCCCGAGGGCGAAAACAGATTCGGACAGAGCTCTTCCACGTTCGACGACACGGATAGCGATTGCACCGTGGACTCCAGCATCTCCTGCCACTCCGAGCCCGTCTACTCCAAAGCCACGCGGCTGCGGAAGCAGCCCATGAAGAAGATCATGAAGAAGACCATGAGTTATGAGCTAAGCCCAAGAGATGTCACTCACTCGGATGTCAGCCACATTCACGGCTATACGGGTGTTTACATTAAGGGTTTGGAGGTGGCCAATAACGTGTCGGCAGAGAAGAAGCTGCAGAGGCCGGATGTGATACCTCCTGCTTTAGGACGCAGCCGCAGCATGTCCACGCCATCCAGGCCCCATAACAGACGCAGTGACGGGGAGGGCAAGAAACAAAGCAGGTGAGGAAGTAAATCAGTAATACTGAGCGAAAACTGGCATCTCCCTGTGTACGTATGTAGTAAAGAGCAATAAGTGTTCATTATTGTTTTTCCTTTCCCCAAAGCTGCTTGACTGTGGCGTAACTGCCATCATTCTTACACGTCATTTCTGTCTTTCTGCTCAGTAAAGTGCAGCACATCATGGATGAAATGATTTCCACAGAGAGGGAGTACGTTCGCTCTCTCAGCTACATCATTGAGCATTATTTCCCTGAGATGGAACGCCTGGACTTGCCTCAGGACCTGCGTGGGAAGCGCAGCATCATCTTCGGGAACGTGGAGAAACTGTGGGACTTCCACAGTCAATACTTCTTGAAGGAGCTGGAGGCGTGCGCCCACTCCCCGCTGTCCATCAGCAGCTGCTTTCTGCGACATGTGAGTCTGACCATTGTCAGCACTGATATATAGAGGTTTTCAGTGGAAATTCAGTGTGGGAATAACCAATTTAGGGATGTTTATCTAGAAACAGAAATACAAAGAGGATGAATACAAGAACAGTGAATAGAAAAGTGTGAAGAAATTCATGATCAGTGCTAATAATAAGCTATTAAGTAGAAACAGAGACCGTGGTAGAGAGCTAAAACAACTGGGACACAGTTAGGACTGATCAAAACAAATCTTAGTCTATAGAAATACATAAGCAGAGAGAAATAACTATATTATTGTATATTAATATCAACATTTTCTCTGTAGTTATTTATTTATATATATTTTTAGTTAGTAATTTATCTTTATTTAATGTATTTTTGTCTTTTCATGTTTCTACATTTTGTATTTATGTGTCATTGACATAAGTATAGGTTATTACTCTATAATTCTCTATTTGTGTTATTTTGTTCTGATTCTTCTGTTAATTTGTCCTTGTTGTTTCTCATACAATTTTTTTTAACATTAGAGATTAAATTAAAGGCATCAGACACATCATTCCTACTTATATTAATTGTTGGTAACTGGCTTTTTAAGAGTCATCAGCACCAGAGTTTGTTTTCCGATGTCACAGGCGGCTGGACCAGATGAGTCACTCTTATTGGCAAATCCAGACTTAAATGTGAGCCTGTGTTGTAACGTGTTAATGTTTTGTGCAGGAGGATCAGTTTGGAATGTATGCTCTGTACAGCAAGAACAAGCCGCAGTCTGATGCCCTGCTCAGCAGCCATGGGAACGAATTCTTCAAGGTGCGTCTGGAAACTCTGCTCTGGTGGCATTTCTCACACAGCGACAAGCCATTGGGTGCAAAATGACACCAAATGGAAAGAGAAAAAGTAATACCTGAACTATCCTCCTGAATTCTTCTCTCCCCAGAATAAGCAGATGGAACTCGGAGACAAGATGGACTTGGCGTCTTACTTGCTGAAGCCCATTCAGAGGATGAGTAAATATGCTCTCCTGCTCAAAGATCTGATAAAAGAGTGCGGCAAATCCCAGGAGCAGGAGCTGAGTGACCTCCGCACCGCAGAGGAGATGGTCAAGTTTCAGCTCCGCCATGGCAACGACCTGCTCGCCATGGACGCTATTCGCGGCTGTGATGTAAGTAATAGTACACAGAGCCAGAGCACCGCTCCACATTATGATGAGACAACACTGGCTGCACAGAGGTCATTTGGGCTATTTTTGGAATGGAAGTCATCTTGTTGTGTTTACAGTAGTGTGAGGTCAGAATCCCACGAGGAATTGTATTGTTCTCGCTGACGCATGCGAGCGGCCATGTTTCCTGTTCAGGTGAACCTAAAGGAACAGGGTCAGCTCCGCTGCCAGGATGAGTTCATCGTGTGGTGCGGACGCAGGAAATACCTCCGTCACGTCTTCTTGTTTGAAGACCTCATCCTCTTCAGCAAGACCAAGAAGATCGAGGGAGGATATGATATTTACATCTACAAGCAGTCTTTCAAAGTAAGTATGCCTTTTTGTGGGCTTTCCTGTTTTTATGATGGAGTTTAACCCACATTTGTGTCCCCACAGACAGCAGAAATAGGTATGACAGAAAATGTTGGCGACAGCGGTCTCCGTTTTGAGATCTGGTTTCGGCGGAGGAAGTCACAGGACACGTTTATACTCCAAGCCAGCTCCGCAGAGGTCAAGGCAGTGTGGACGGCTATTATTGGCAAGATCCTTTGGAGGCAGGCCCTCAGGAACAGAGGTGGGTGTCAAATTGTACAGTCATGTGAAAATGTACACACAAAGTATGGCCAAGAAAAAACTTTCAGTCCTTTTAGATACAGTGTCTGTTGGTTAATGTGGTCAAATTACACAATAACACTGGGCTTTAGAGGCTGGTGTCACTTTTCAAATGTAGCCTGACCTGGACCAAATGATATTTTAAACAGTCTGACCTGTTGATTTTCTTTTAGTTACAAGATGTTTTTTAAATTCTCTAAGATTATTTCTCACATGCTCTGCCCCATGAAATTAATGAGATTACACTAGACTCTCAGAGTGTTTAGCCCTCTCAAATACATTAGGGCAGCTGGACGTTTCAGAAAAAATGAGCCCTGATTCTAAATGTGAATCTTGCCGTGTGTTCTTTCCATGTACGAAATATATTTATTTTAAGAACGGAATCTATGAAAATGCAAATAGTTTACAGGGTTCATTGTACATTCCATGAGATTCTCTTGACAACTGAAAAGGCCAAACTAAAAAAAACGAACCCCCTTTTTGTGTTGTAGAGCTGCGCATGCAGGAAATGGTGTCCATGGGCATTGGAAGCAAGCCTTTTATGGACATCAAGCCAAGTGACGCTGCCATTAGTGACAGAGCCATTGACTATATCATGAAGGGGTCAGGTGAGCCATTCATTAGCACTAATTATGACCTTTTCCGCTGTTCTGCAAGTGTCAGCGTGTTCATTTGCTGAGTCCAAAAACTTCACATATATCTTTACTTGACAACTCAATCTCTGACTACCATGCTTTACCATCTAGAACATTTGTGTATCATGTCAACCATGAGATAATCCTAAATCTGTTTCATACCCCGTACACATTATTCATCCCCATCTTTTATTAAACAGCTCGCCATGTTTGTCTCTGTCAACAGAGTCCCGGACCAGAGCGTCCATCGCAGTGCCCTCGTTTGAGCACTGCGCTGCATTCAAGAGGCCCCATTCCACCATCTCCAACAGCAGCACCTCCTCCTCCAGCAGCCAGTCATCCTCCTCCCTGCTGGGCTCGCTCAACCTCCACCTGTACTCGTCGCCCTCTCACCCGCACACACATTCCTTCCCTATGGGCAGTGTTAGTTCCTTTGTCCAGTGGCCCTATGACTGCATAGAGGAAGATGAACTGGAGCAGGACACAGGGAGCAGCCAACCCTCCATGAGTGAGTGTCTTCTCAGTTGTTAGATTTAGAGGTTACTGGGTTTTAATGTTTTAGGATGGAGCTGGCAATAGCTCATTTAAAGAAACAAATAAATAATCCTAAAATCTATCAGGTCTCAATGTGTAACATTTTTAAAGGCATTTAAAAATGCCTTAGTATCTACTGTATATTGGTTCCACCACTAGGAGTTGCCAAAAGCCTACATAAACTGAACTTTGAAAAATTGATGAATAGCTCTGAACATTTCCAGCCTTTGTATGTGTGTAAAAGTTTCACTTTGTTAAAGTATCTTGTTTTATGTTGTGTGACAGTCATAGAGAGCTCAGAGACCTCCTCGCAGTGTACCTCCAGTGACAGTGTGACTGGGCTGAGTACTCTCACCATACCCGGGCACCCCAGCATCGTCATGGACTCCTTCAGCAACAATGAGCCCTCCTCATTCCTCTGCTCCCCCACATCTCCCTCCTCCATCACCTCTTCTTTCGAGAAAGACGAAGACATCCATCCACAGGGCACCAAGTTCATCACAGCAGTAAGTGCTTGATGAGTATCTGAGGATGCTGTAAAATCATACACACTATGGGGGCCTTTTCAGCCTTTTTTTTCTCTTAAGTATGGCTGCAGTGATGTATCTCTGCCGAGGTCTACGTGTTTAAGCACAGAAAACTTCTCATGATCTTTCTTTTTCATCTGCTTTGTGCCAAATGTCCCTCGGTTAAGTTACTGTGGACACAAAAATTGCTAAGCCAATTTGATTTTGTCAAAATGTTTAAAAGATTTGAATTTTTTCTGAATTTTGAAAAACACTGTACATTAATTTAAACTCTACCTTGATTTTACTTCCCCATTTTTCAGTGATGGTGGTGAAATTTAGCCTTCATATACTTTACTTCCTTTCAGTTGCATGAGCTTCCTCATTTTGACTGTCGCCCAAAGTGTACCATGTAAAAAAGTCAGTTTGTAAAAATCTCTATTTGTTTGTATGAATGCTGTGTAAGTCAGTTTAAAACAGGGGATAATGGCTCTTTCACACAGGTTCTTTTTGTGTTCGTAACATTTATCACACTTTTCACCTCTAGTTCAGCAGCACCCCCCATCATGATTCAAATATGCACTTTAATAAGCACAATTATAACTATGTGTAGATATTAGAGTGAACAGTACATCACCACAGACACAGTATTATCATTCACCTTATTTCATTGTTCTTTTTTGATACATTTCCGTGTCTGACGGTCAGGAGCTGAATACATGAGAGAGGACTTTTTTTCTAAGAAAATGCAAAAATAGAAAGAAGCATCAAAATGTAATGAAAAATATCTGGAAGAGCAGCTATGGCTAAATTTAAAACTTTACCAAAAATTGCAGTATGGGTTATTTGTGTGAAGATGTCTGCAGGTTTGGATGTTTTTGCTATTAACTGCCAAATGATTGCTCCAATGATTTAATTGGATTTGATTTCAGCAGATCTAGTCTGTATGATTACTTTTATCAAGGGTTTTATAAAGCAGAGGATCTTTATTGTAAAGCTAGATTTCTATTCTCCTTAAATAAAGCCATCAATGCAATAAAGATGTGTTCTAATTGTATGTATGTATTGATCTTTCTGGAATCTGGAGGAACTTTGTACTTTACTGTGCTGTAAAGAAGACTAAATGCGAAAGTATTTAGATCAGATTCATTATCTGTTTCTGTGATCTACAACAGTACCCTTTTTCCACCTGAGCTCGTGTTCAGGAGAACAGCAGCTGTTTTAGGCTGTTTCACCACCCTTTCTGCTGTTTTGTTTTTTTACCAGAGCTCGACTGCTCATTTAGCAGTAGGCCTCTCAACGACGGTCTGACAGAGCTGTTTTTTTATCTCAGTAAGTAACCGCTGTCACAGCACTGGTGAAGCTTGTTCCCTTGCCAACCACATAAAACAACTGTGAAGAAAACCGTCCTAGCCTGGATGTTAATATGTGTGAACATGATTGTGGTGTGCTGCATGGTGGCATGTCCAGATGGGTTTAGCTGGCTCCCTGTAAGCGTGAATTCGTCTTGTAAAGATCTGGATCTGTTGATGTTTTCTCCTGTCTTTTGTCTGACACGTGAGGGTGAAAAGCAGGCTATGAAAGCTGACTTGTTGTGCACATTTGACCACATGCATGCTGTGTTGTGTTTTTGAGCTTTGAAAATGTCTGTGGTTGAAATAATGACCGTCTTGTTCGCCTGCTGAGTTGTTCAACTTGTCATTGCAACTTTTGACTGCATGCTGCTGTTCAGACAAAAATGGAACAAGAGTGCATGCTTTAACGTTTCAGCTAAATGTTTTCAAAGCATTTGAGATTAACAAAAACTGTACTTTTTTTTCCTGCTGTGTTATAAATCAATATCTTTTGTTTACTTCATTTGATAAGACTGTGTCTTTCAAAAATAAATATTTTTGGAAGTATTTTAGCAGATTTCAGAACATTTTTTAAAATTAAGTATAAAGTTGTATACATGTAATGAACTTGTGGTTCAAGTGTGAGAGCACGTTTTGCTGAACCTTTCATACTTGCACAATTCCCAGTCTGAACTAAATGTTGGATGTTATTTAATAATCCTATTTCCTTAATTGGTGTTGATGGTGCATGCAACTATTTATTTAACTAATTTTGTTGAAGAACCTCATATGTTTTTTCTCTCTTTTTTTGCAGCTGTGACAGCTTGAAACAGCAGAGCTTGTTACACAAACAAAAAGGAGATGGGGAAGAAAATGACGAGTATTGAAGCACAAAGACTTTTTTTGTGTCATTTCTGGCTGAAATGCAGCCATTCACAAGTTGTGACAAGTGTCCCGATTACATGTCAACTAAAAAATGACTCAAGACACACGCCATCATTATGGTACGTCGGAGATCTGTACATTTGTTTTAATGATTTAGTTGTGTTCATATTGTAGATGTATTTTACAAAACAGAATAATAGCAAAAGATTTGAAGCAGAGTTGTCTTTCTTTTGTCACTACTCCTGACTTGGGACAGATTTGTACAGATGAATAAACTGTTTCAAGCATATGGTTGTTTTCTTTATCCAATCACAATAGGTTTGATGCAATATGTATTCATGCCATCTAATGACCTACAAATAACTTAAAACAAATACATTTTACAATTCATCAGGCTTCCTGTCTCAGAAACTTAAAGTGTGTAGCCAAAAGGAAGCAGTAGATATTTCCACTGATAACAAAGTGTGAGTGTGAAACGATACACGCAAAGGTTCTTGCAAATACACAAATACTGCTGCAAGCGTGACCCACCACTACCGTTACAGAGGGGGTGCGGATGTTGAAGAGTATGAAAAGTGGTTTTACCTTCACATGGGAAACTGACAAATGTTTACCACACGTCATGTGTCTGCAGTCCGAATCAGACATCAGAAGTAAGCCACAACCCGAGCTGTACAGCAGGGGGTTTTATCTTTCGGCATCAGATATGAAACGTAAAGCCACACCTCATATAATAAGCACAAAACTTTTTTAATCGACTTCTTTTAAGCATACAGTTCCATGGTCTGCTATATATACAGATAGGTTATGATCATAAGGTCAGACCTTGTTCAGTTACTGCTGAACACGTTGCAGTTGTTTAATCACTGTGATTTTTCACGTTTCTCTTTTAAAAACCAGACGCAGAGAACTGCAGACAGGGAAACTTCGAACCCCAACACACACAGCTCCATCAGCTCCATCTGTCAAAAACACATAAGTCAATAATTATGCTCAATGTTTCCTGGAAGAATCACATTTGTACGCCCACTCTTTGAATCTGTAGTTTATAATATTAATCTTACTGTTAAGTAATCATCGTTTTTTGACTCCCAGTTAGCGAGGTCAACACTTATCAGAGAAGCTGCAACAAAAGCGACGACAATGGAACCGCAATTGACTCCGAGGGACACCTGTGACAAAAAATCAAAAAGAAAAAAAACACTGTACTCTGTCAGAAAATAACCATCATCTGGAATTGTGAATTTTTTCTGATTTATGCTAACAATCACTCACAGTTAGTAACTCTGGATATTTGAACAACAGATTGGAAACAAGTCCAGCAAACATGAACTGCAAAGCAGGAGAATCCAGTTAGAAAGTCTTTTTTTCTCTGTGCAGGTTTTGTCATGATTTCTGTCTTGTTTGAGACTAGACTTACGAGCACTCCACTTAGCTGTGAGACTCTGAACAAAGTGAAGAGGGATTCTTTCATGTCTTGAGTTGCAGCAAAAAGGATCCCCACTGAAATGCTGAGAAGGCCACTCACCATCTGCAGAGACTGGCAGAGCAACACAGAAAATTCAAACCCTCAACCAAACAGAAGAGTTGATAAGTAAATATTAGTCACTGCAATCTCATCTTAATTTCAATTTGAAAAAAGGTTTTTAAAAAAAGTTGGTTCATGCTTACGAAACATTAATTATTTAGATTCCCTGAACTCTGCTGCTGCTGCTCGGGCGCCTGACGCACTATAGTGGACGTAATTGGATCCTGTAAGTTCCTCTACTTGATCTGCAGCTTTACATGTAAAAAATTATGTAAATCAATCTATTTTCTAAATGACTTTAATCCAATTCATTGAGCCTCTCCCTGCTGTCCTTGAGTGAGAGAACATCATCGTGTGGTCCACAAATACAGGTAAAGAGAGCCATGAATACACAGAAAATCCCAAGCTCTACTAGTTTGATATTGCGATCCACTGCAACATTAAACTCAATCCATTATCGTTACGCTTATTCCCTAATTGGGTCGCAGGGAGAACTGGACCCTATCCCAGTGGTCAATGGGCGAGAGGCGGGGTACACCCTGGACGGTCCACCAGTCCATCACAGGGCCACACACCTCTGTTGCTCAGAGGGAGAACATTTTCTGACCAATATTTCAACAGGTTGTAAAGACACTTGTGCATCAAGAGATGTTTTGGAAACAGAATTCCCAGTTTCTACGATGGCTATGTCAGCTCTCGCCATTCCGCTTTTATGGCTTCATATGATAATGCTTTGAACTTCGTCATCCAAGTATCCAACAAGAAAAAAAAAACTTTTTCCATGAAATACAAATGTAAAAATAATGGATAAATGACTTTGTAACCGATTTGATTTTATCTGTGTCTTCATTTTAATGTAGCTCTGTTTGACTTTAGAAGCAGCATATTCAGAGCACTTAACATTGGAAAATGGGTTTTTTGTATGTGACTCGGTGTGCATTTTTACTATAAAAAGCTGCATGCTAATGCATGTACTATTTAAGATAGTAATTCTATGGATTATATTTAACATCATGGAAGCTTTTGCTATAAACAACAAAACCAAGTCATATTACAGTAAGTATGTAACAACTTTTTATTAGACTTTTACATTTACACTATAATATTTACAAAGGGTGTCTAAAACCTCACCAAGTGTTTCTGCTAATTTAGTAAGTCTAATCAGCTTGTGTATCTTTTTTTTAGAGTAAAATTATATTTCCTATTTTTTAACTTCACACAACAGAATTTCAGCTTGCAAAAATGTGGAAAAGTGAAGTTATACAGAATACTTTGTTAAAGAAGGGCTTCTCACCTATTATTTTCCAATATAACTTGATCCATGTCAGGTGTCATATTCTGAGATGCACCCCAAGCAGGTAATCAGTTCATTACAGGGACAAACAACTTCAATAACACCGATTATTTAAAATCACAGCTTAAGCTCACAGGCAGCTGTTGGTACTCGGGAGATGAAAACAAGCCATGGAAGCACTGGGAGGACAGGCAAAACAGGCCAAACAGAGACAATGTTCATATTTTACTCGGGGTGACCCTGATTTTCCAATAATTTGAGTATTGCCAATGGCTTCTTATGTATGATTTCCCTCAGTAAATATCCCACACCTCCAACGTTTCCTACAAGCGATATGATCCATCAGTGTGTGGATGTCCACATGAGAAATCCCTTCTGTGGTATTTCTTTTAATTAGCAAATCTTTAAAAATAAAAAAACACTTTCTCACCCCCAACACAGCTGGTTGCTTCTTAATCAGGTTGTGCAGCGGCCCATATTCATCTGGCAACATTTCGGTAGCCTGGTAGTACTGGAGCAGACGCGGCGGGGGAGGCGCCTCTCTGCCACCGGCTCCCGGCGGCTGCTCATCATCCACAATGTCCATGTCTACATCGGCACAGGCCATGTTGCTTCTTTGACCTGGGACCAAAAATAGTTGGATTATAGAATATTTACAGAGCATCAACATTCTTCAGGTATGCCAGTGACCTTAAAATGTCCCCACTCTGGCCTGAAAAACTGAAATCCTGGAACAGTGCAATAAAACCATTCGACCTGTGATAAAGTGTGAGGGCCAATTATTTTTCTATGATCCTGAAAAAAAACAACTAGATAGAGCAGAATTAAGGCAGCAAGCATAAATTGACAGCAAAATTAAGAAAGGGTAAATGAACAGAAATGTAATATAAAGAAAAATAAATTGAAAAGATTTCAATGTCATCTTTACAACATGTATAAGTTTATATAATTTGTATTTGCACACATTCATGTACAAGTGTTCGGTCTTGAAGTCTAGAAATCATTTTAAAAACATTTTTTAAAACAACTTTGAATACTACACAATTCTGAAAAGTATCCTCACATCCGGATGGATCTTTGATAAATCATGGTACTGCCTACCATAAATGACCCAAAATTGTCTAATTCAAAACGGCTTTACTTTAGCATTACTTCAACTTCTATGTATAGCAGAAACTAACACTTCCAAGTATTTTTACACTGTGCAATGCGCATGTGCTTCACAAATATATTTTAATTTTGAATGACAAAAGAATTCAGATCAGGATTCTTACCACGTCTGGTTTGAGTCGTATCCGTCTCAAATAGGGGTCTCAGTCTTTGGGCATGAGTGGCACTTCCCTTCAAACACATGAGACGTATGACACGTGAGGTCATCACACATTGTTACTTCCTCAGCCGCTAGATATCTTTATAGAAACATTTATGTAAAATCATTCTGCGATATTTCCAATGTCAGCGCACTCTGCTGCAATTTTCATTCGTAGATAAAAAAAAAAGATAGACTGGTATTTCTTATTATTTGAAAGAAAATGTGCATTTCTAGGTGTGAAGGAAGGATGGGTGGGGAGGGTGGGGGAAAGTCAAATAAGGAAGACAAGTGCCAAAGCAGGTCATTTCCTTGCAGAACTTGTGCATCAAAGCAGAGAAGTTCAGGTCTGAATCGGGCAAACAAATGGCGCAAAGGTCGGTCACTTTTATTGAGAACATCGACCACGGGCCATCAGCAGCCATATCTGTAACGACTTTGGATGTTTTTTTACAGGAAAATGAGGAAGACCTTTGTTTGTGATAACTCAATTATCATCACCATCCCAATCAAGGGTCTGAAGGATCTAAAGGAGGGTCAGCTGTTGCCAGAAAATTTCTACTGTGTTTACAAGGATCATTTTAAGGTCCTTGCCATCAAGGGGAAGCCTAAACCTGTTGGAGTAAGTTGCACTTCCTTATTTTTACAAGCAATCTTAAAAACAGTCCATATTTGTTTGTATCAAAATAACACACATACAAATTTAGCACAGAGAAACTATGTGTATATTCAGAATTTTGTGTTTCTCATCATTTGCTCTGTTATCTGAAAGGCAGCGCAGGCCACCGTTGGTGTGTTTCTTTTTGCTCTCGGTCTGGTTTGTAAAAGCCACTACTTCATATCTTTGCCAAGTTTTCTGGTAAATATAATTTGAATGACAGCTGAAAAACATACTATAATTAAGGAAATCTTACATTGTTAAACAACCCCATGTATTCCATCCTTATCTCATCAGTTTCTGATCTGTGGTGTGGCGTCATATGCAGCAGGGAATTATCCAAACATGCATCTGGTAAGTAATATCCATCATGTCTAAGATTTTGTCTTTAAATTAAATACACCTTCAAAAGTCAAGACTTTTTCTAAGAATTGTCTGAACGCTCACTGTGTGTTTCAACATAGCTCAAGATTTGACAGGTAAATTGGTCATAGAGACCTGATTTTAACGCAGATGGCTGCTCGTGTAGTTTCCGAAATCTGATGTTTGGCTCTGTACTTTAACATGTTTCTCTTTCCAGACTAAGATGTCATTCTCCCTGAACATAATCAGCCTCTTCTGGTCCCTTGTTGCAAGTGTTCTTTACAAGATGAGTAACAATGAGCATCAATTAACACCTACCAAGGTACACTACAAAACCATTTCTTTAGACTCAGTCAGAACATGCTTTGGAAAATGATCAAATCACATGTGTACTTTAATGCCTCTGCTTTGTCTCCCATTTGTTAAACAGTTGATGAATGGAGTCCAAGGACTGATAATGAGTCTGCTGGCTGTCGAAAGTATCATAGCCCTGTACTTGATCTACTGGTTGAGCAAAGCTGTGTGCAGGGAGGACTTCAACACTTTGGTATTGCAATTTCTTTCTTCATAATGCAGCTGAATATGAGATATGGAAAAAAATGATCCCAACCCTTCTTCATTTGCTCTGCAGCCCACCATACTGCTGAAAGACGAAGACTGAGGCTGTGTGCTGTGCCTTTGCCCGTTTTTGTCACGTCCTTCTTACCACATAAGTTACTGCAAGTTGTGTCTTTGAAATTATTCGAAAGTGTTCAAATGCAAAACGTTGATTTGATTTTTGCACAATTACCTGTTCATAGCAAATGTCACTCAAGAGGGCTGCTTCATATAGATATTATGCAAACTTTGTAGCTTTATAGAATAGTCAAAGCCGTGATATTTTCACATTATTTAAAAATCTTTTATATTTCTTAGATAACATGGATAGAAGTTCTGATTACATTTTACATTTTTTAGAATCATCTTTATGTATTACATAAACTTGTGTTGCTTGTTGTTTTATCTACTTCAGTCTTGATATTATTTTCAGTCATGTTTTCATCAGAAATAAATAAATAAAAGACGCAGTTTTCTTGAATTAAATTGTGTCTACTTGTGAAGCTACAACAGTACTCTTTGTTATAATCACTTACAAGTATTTTTAAAACATACATTCCTGTTTCTGTACTGAAGTGTTATTCTTATACCGATATCAAACGTTAGTTTTTTTGTTACTATTAATTGCATTTTTCACTTGAAATAAATATCAACAAGTTCAGCTTTCACGTTTAATGCATGTTAAAATATTTTATTTCTCCCATTCCTGAATTCTGAAATAAAATTTTATCACATGCCAAAAAATTTTGAATAAACAGTTTTTAAATTATTCAACCCAAATACTCAGTTATTCATTACGCTCTCAGTCAAGATGAGTTTAGTTTTTTTGTAATGAAGAACTTTTTAAAATCAGATTATAGTTTTGGTGAATGTGAAAAAAATGGTTGAGGAGCAAAGTCCATCTAACCATTAGAAAGATTTTTGTCATGTGTCGTAATCTGATTTTTTTTTATGACCACACAAACCTGAAACAAATAGTCAGAACGAATCATTTCAACCTTTGCACGGTGTCTGAAACCACAGGATGAGAGGGCTGCACAAGAAACCACGTTAGTAGCTTTGAAGGGCCACAAGATGGAGACAAACACAACATGTGAAATAAACGGAAACTCGCAAAACAGTGGTAAATTCTGTTTATTTAATGACCCAACATTGATTCGACTCTTAAAAGATGAATACAATGCTCAGGACGCTCTAGAGATTATTACACAATTCGGATAACTGAAAAAAAAAATCGGAATTATTTGTTTTTATTTCACAAAACTTGACATTTGAATTTACATTACGTTCAAAGTAAACGTGCGCGTAAATAAGTGTGAAGTGTTGTCCTTGTTTTAAGTTTTTCAGGTACAGCGCTTTGAATTGAATTGCCCTGTAGTAGAAATGTGCCATTTCATGGTTTAAACAAAGTCTTTCGGCGGAGGACTCAGAGAACAATCCGCACATGATGATAAAGGAGGGTCACAACACCAACTCTTCCGCTTTACGACACTCCCAACAAACACAAACCAATAAAAAAAAAAGTCAACTATCCCCCTTGCTTATGTCCTATTCCAACCTTACAGCTTTTGCCTGTAAACTGCCGACACATTATGTCCCCTCGTATCTCAGTTTGAGCTTGTTTTTGTCCGTTTAGTGACCGCGGGTGGAAGTGGGTCGCTGTCCCATGCCTCTGCCGTGAGGGGCTGCTGCTGCTGCCTGCGTCAAGCTATGGCGTCCGTGTATAGCGGGTCCCATACCTTGAGCAAGGATGATGTGCACTACATGATGCATTTCCGAATGATAAACGAGCAGCAGGTTGAGGATATCACCATCGAGTTTTTCTACAGGCCGCACACGATAACGCTGCTGTCATGCACGGTCCTCAGTTTGATGTATTTCGCTTTTACAAGGTGAGTCCGCTAGCTTCAGCTAGCCCCAGCGGCTAGCATGGCTAGGCTAACGGGGGCAGTGATGCTGGGCCAGGTACGCAGAGAGGGGATCTCACCAGCTTTACCACATTCTGACTGTAACGACCTGGGATAACCTTGTTCGACCATATTTTTGTATGAGGCGGATGTCAAAGCTAGCTGAAAGAAGTGTTGGTTATATAACGTTAATCCAGAGGTGGACTCTTGTTTCCTGTGTTGACATGAGCTACTACATTGTAATTACAATGGAAACGGTTCAACGTTATGTTTGAGGCGATTTCCTGCTTTCATACTGTAAAATCTGACTCAGCTCACTATTTGTACTGTGGTATCATTTTCATTCTTTGAAATCTGAGAAAGAGTGGCATCCTCACATCTGTTTAGAGCAGACTGGGCAGTATTATGATATGCCTGTGCTGTTTCAGCTGTTTTATTGTAAATGTGCATTGCGTGTTTTTCTTCACTGTCTACAGAGATGATGGAAATCCTGACAGTAATATCTGGGTGGGGCTCATCCTGGTCATCTCCTTCTTCCTAATCATCAGTGTTCTGGCGTTTCCCAACGGTGAGGACAAAGCCAAGGGTTTAGGCTACAGGTTATGCCAATAAAACGGTCACAAAACACGCGTTTTATTTTCTCCAGTACAAAAAAAACATCAAGATTGAATATTTCAAATGAAACGAATCATTTTAGAAAGATGAAATGGCTTGTAATCATTCCCAATTAACTTTGAATGCAGCTTTTTTACATAATTTACAGCTCAATTATTCAAATGAGACCTACGCCTCTATCAAGTGTGCTTTGATGTGAGAGGGAGGGGGGTAGTGAGTGGGACACGGGCAGGCAAATTTGAAAATTTGAATACTGTTCTTAGTGATTTGAGCCCCCCCAAAAGGCCATGAAACTGCTCTGCCACCGTCACACATGAGGAAGGTAAAGAATCTATTTGGGAGTTGTACACGTGATACAGTTCAGCGACCAAAAACATCACAGACCTTGGCATTATCACTGAGCTGTGCTGCACTGATGTTATTTTTGTCATAGCATCCATTTTGTTTGTTTTTTTCAGGTCCTTTCACCAGGCCACATCCAGCAATATGGCGGATAGTTTTTGGTGAGGATTTACCGCAAATCTGGGCAGAGTGAAATAGTTTGGATGTTTTCCCTCCTAACCTGAAACCCCTCTGCTTCTAAGGTCTGAGCGTGCTCTACTTCCTCTTTCTGGTTTTCATCATCTTCCTCAACTGGCAGCAGGTGAAGCAGCTCATGTATTGGCTGGATCCGAACCTGCGCTACGCCAAGAGAGAGGCCGACGTGATGGTGAGTGCTCTGGCCTCTGGCGGGGATGAATGCATTCGCTTGATTTCTCCAGCTCCAGTTGTGCTTGCTGCCTGGGGATTATCAATCACGGTAATGAGGCTCTCTGTGCTGCTGGCTGCAGGAATATGCTGTGAACTGCCACGTCATCACGTGGGAGAGGATCCTGAGCCATTTTGACATCTTTGCCTTCAGCCACTTCTGGGGCTGGGGCATGAAGGCCCTCCTCATTCGAAGCTATGGCTTGTGCTGGACCATCAGTATTACCTGGGAGCTCACTGAGGTAGAGCCACACACACAGTAGTTAAAGCTTTCATCACAGACTTTACATCATGCCTGCACTTCCTGCTGGGTGATCAGCAAAGCTGGTGTTTAGTTATTTTGTTGGATTATGAAGTTTAAATGAATGGGCCTGAGCTTTTGTCCTTAAGTCTGCGTTACATACATGCCATCTCTCTCCTGCAGTTGCGATGTAAACTGTGTTCTTCTGTGCCCGTAGCTGTTCTTCATGCATCTGTTGCCTAACTTTGCTGAGTGCTGGTGGGACCAAGTGATTCTGGATATTCTGCTGTGTAATGGAGGGGGAATCTGGCTTGGCATGACTGTCTGCCGCTTTTTGGAGATGAGGACGTACCACTGGGCCAGCATTAAGTATAACTTCTCATTCTGGAACTTGGTTACAACCCTGTTTGAAAATTCCTCCAGTTTCCGCGTCGTTCCCGTTTACACACTAAGTGAAGAGGGGCACAGAGATCCTGAGGTGGTTGGTGGTATGCCCCCCTGCTGACTGTGCTGCAGCCTGCTGCTCTCTGGACGGCATACTGCTGCTGTGTAATGGCATGTAGCAGCATGTGCCCGTTGTATTCTAGGGGGACTTGGGTTATAAATTTAGTGTAGTACCTATCTTGAAGTCTACCGTTGTCATGAAATCTTCATGCTGATGACAATGGCAAGCACCACCTGCCATTGGGAATTTTTTGCGGCCTCACATAAGTGACCTCACATCAAAGGGAAGCCGCATACCGCTAACCAGGAGTGGCACGCCATCTGCCACTTTCCGCTCGCTCATTTTCCTTTTGTTCATTTGGCTTGATCAATCAGGATAAAATCTCTCCCGCTTGAGCTCAGCATTACTGTTATCATGTGATGCTCAAATCCATTATTTGGAAAACTAATCCCACATATTCATCAAGGAGGATTTGACTTGAATGACTCATAAGGTGGCATTTATTTCATCTAGCTTTGATGACTTACACTTCTCTGACACTCTCTGTAAATATGTCTGGATTTTTTTTGTAATCCTTCCTCTGTGCTTCCCGACTAGGGACATTCACACCACCACAGGGAAGATCAAACGGGCCGTGCTGCAGTTCACCCCCGCGAGCTGGACCTACGTGCGCTGGCTGGACCCAAAGTCCTCCCTTCAGAGAGTGACGGGCGTCTATATGTTCATGATCATTTGGCAGGTGGGTCGGTGTGAAATCCTCTTTCACCACGTCGCAGCGACTAAATGCTGACTCGTCAGAGATCATCCGGGGCCGTCCGTCTGCTAAGTCGTGGCTAATCTAATAGGCTTCTCCTTTGCTGAGATCTAAAGCCGCATGGATCCATGTAATGCACAGGTGTCCCACTGTCTGCATATCACCGGCTAATCCCTTTAAGGGTGAGACTGGCTGGATGTCTGAGGAGCAGTTTGTGCAGGAGTTTAACCTCTCACTTTTCAGCTGCTCCTCTTCTCACCGCCTCCCAGGTGTGGCTGATCAGCACGGGGATCACGTCCAACATAGTTTTTAGACAACCTACTATTTTTGTTTTTGTTTTTTTCAAATTCAGCCTCTACTAGAGGAGAATTTTAAATAGAACTCAATTGCTGGATTTTTACAAGATGAGCAGGGAGCCTTTAATCAGTAAAAGTTCTCTAAAATCTGACAGTTTATTCAACCGGAAATAAAAAATGGGGAAAAGTCACTTTGCCGATTTTAATCCATTTAAAAAACTAGGTGTAAGTCATCACGATCACTGAGAACTATATGTAGGCCTACAATCTCATTCAGCAGACCAGATCTAAGTGCTCCCCGTTTCACCGACTTGGCCTCTCTGCTGTGGACCAAAGGCCTCATTAAATGTCATCCGCACCCCCGTGCTGGTCCTGTAGAGACGTCAGCCTGTCTGCTCAGAGGGAGCTGTGCGGAGGGCTTTCGGTGGAAAGTGTCATGGGACGACTGTTGATATGTGAAACCAGCAGAAAATGAAACCTGCGCTGAGAGAAAGTGTCGAGTCAGTAAACAGTTCATGGATCATGGGTGGAATCACTACTCGTAGTGAGTTTGAGTTTATATTTTATACTCAGTTGCTGTGAGGCGTTTCTGCTGATTCGCTGTTAAATGTGGCGTGTTTTGTTTTTGCCACACCTTTTTAGATTCGACCTTGCCTTTCTGTTTATCTAGATGCAGTTGTGTTTTAGTCAGAGAGAAAAGACTTCTCCCTGCAGCTTCTCCAAACCAGCCATACTTCTCAGCCATTTTCTCACTGTAGTATCACAATACTAAAGATTTAACGTGCCACTAAGGCCTGTAGGGTCTGGCTCTGGCCCATCTGCTGCTGTAAAGTTTGACAGCTGTCTTGAATGTTTTCCACTAGTGAATAATCTGCTTCTCCGTGGTCTCTAATGGACTCAAAATAGTTTGGCAGTGGCCTTTTAACCCCTCTTAGACTGATGGACTGCAACGATTGCACAAAATATTCCCATAACCCTTTTAAGTGTTTTTTCCTTTTTTTTCCCTCCCAACACAGCTAACAGAGTTGAACACATTCTTCCTCAAACACATTTTCATCTTTCCTGCGAGCCATGCTCTCAGCTGGTGTCGAATCCTCTTCGTCGGCATCATCACGGCTCCAACAGTAAGGTACACTGACGGGCGCTTTTCGCCCCCTCTGACTCTGGTTTGGACAGCTTTATGAGACTGGAATAGGGCCTCTGAGGAAACCTGCTGATGGGAGAACTGTTTGTTTGCACTTTTAGGCAGTACTACGCATACCTTACAGACACACAGTGCAAGAGGGTTGGGACACAGTGCTGGGTCTTTGGGTAAGTAGAAACCACTTATGGACACGGTGAAAGATTATTTTCAGGTATTCAATCATCACTGAAAATTTCCCTCAACTATTCTTAAACGGACAGTTTTTTAAAACTTATATTCTCACGAAAACTGCAGTGTAGTCGTCTATCGGGCAGATAAAAGAAGTGATGTTATCTCAACAACAGTAGGAAGTGTTGGGTGTCTATACATTCAACTTCCTTAAGTCAAGACAGATTTGTCAGCATATCTAAATGACATATTTTTGGACCTGTGTGACTAAGAACTTTGTGGTTTTCACAGCTGAAGTTTAACCATGCAGTTCTGCTTGTTTTGCTCCTCTCTTCTCAGGGCCATAGCCTTTCTGGAGGCCTTAGCGTGCATTAAGTTTGGCCAGGACTTGTTCTCAAAAACGCAAATCCTCTATGTGATCCTCTGGCTGTTGTGCTTGGTAAGATCCACGCTGCAACGTATGCATTAATGATTCTCCAACAGTGATATGACCCCTTTATCTCTGATCTGTTTTTAGGCCTTCATTACATTTCTGTGTCTGTATGGAATGGTGTGGTATGCAGAAACATATGGTCCCAGGGAAAAGGTACGCTTTGGTACTCAGGAATGTTTTGTCTTTGTTAAACTCCAGCAGACGTGGGCTTTGTACTAAGCAGAAGGGTTTGCTATTCAGCGAGGAAGTCTGGGTGTAGGTAGATTTATTTTCTAGTGCCATAAAGATGCTTCAGTTCAGCTCAGCATGCTTCGTTTATGTTTTGTTTTCCACTGCAGACCGTTTCGCCCACACTTGCTGGACCAAAGAGTCACATGTGTTATTTAAATTTACACATGTCTTCTGCCCTTGCTGAGACCTCATGAAGGAGCCATCTCTCGTATGTTGTTATCATGTAATAACAAGAGTAAAATCCCCGTTGGCATGAATTCTGTCAAAGCTAAAGATAAAAAGTAACTTTCTGTGACTGAACAAAGCAGCTGGGTGCCCTGTCTGTCCTCTGCACTCGGCTCTACCGTGGTATGAATTCCAGGGGCAAATGGGACACTGGGAGTCGTTACCGAATGCTAACCTCCGGGGTTTTTCCTTTCAAGCGTGCTTTTAAGTCAGAGCTCGTTGAAGACTGTACATTTGATCCATCTGTCAAAGGAATGCGTGTCATATGTCCTCACCCTGTTTTCGTCCGGCAGAGCTACTCAGAATGTGAGGACAGTAATTACAATGAGTCTCCTGAGCATTCGTCAGAGGGATTTAAAGGTATAGTGACTTTGCTGTCATTTATTAGCTACAGGACTTGCCTCATAAAAGCATGCTTCAACCTCTAATCGGTAAATGCCTGACATCTAGTGTCTGGAGTTCTGTCCTACACTTTAGCAATTTTTTTGGGCTTTATGTTTCAGGCGAGATCGACGTGGACGGGGATAGCCCAACAACCAGGCAGAGAGGGAAAGGCTCTGGGAAGGCAAAGTCCATCAACGGCCTCGACGGCCAGTAAGGGCTGGATCCAGCAAGGGCTGGAGCCAGAGGCTGCAGTGGCACTCCTGAGCTCACTCTGAAGAGCCAATAGTTTAAAAAAAAAAAGAAATGGGGTAGAGATATGACTGCTTCCCAGTGTATTTAACGTCTACAGAGACCCCCACGTACAGCACAGGGAGTGGAGATGGCAGAGAAGCAGCGGATGAAAAGGCCCATGCTGCAGGGTGTGCTGTGGTCAAGGAGCTCCTGAACCACTAATCACAGGTTTCCTTGTGTGCGAAAGAGAGCAAGAAAGGGTGTGAGAGGAATAAAAAAAAAAAAAGAAGCCTATTGTAGATGTGACTGCATGCTCATCTTAGATGATAAACACAATTATGCTATCAAACAGTATCATAGTATATTAGGCTGGTTTTCACCGGTCTTGACTATTTTGGTTCAACATATTTCAATGTTAAAAGCCATTTTGTTGATTTTATCACTTTACTAAAAAAGCCTGTATGTTTATAGCACCAAACGGTTGTTCTTTATTTAAATATCTGTGACTGATCTATTTACGGCAGGTGTTCACGATGTCCTGTTTTTAACTTGAATGTGGGCAGAAGTTCAATGCGAGCCAGCTTTATCTCAGAAGGATCATTGAATGAGATTTGTATTAGATATGGAATGAAGCAAAGCACACTGTTAAGCACTTTGCAGAATGTTTCCTTGAAAAAACTGTACATTTTGTAATGTTTGAGTATTTTATGCCTCATCGTGATCTAGAGTGACTTCACTTTCCCTGTCCACATGTGGCTGCTATCACTATATTTTTATATTTTACCGTACAGATAGGAGAGGGCAATTATTCTAAATCCTGCATGTGTTGTCAGGTTCTTCTGTTGGTGTGCAGGTGGCTTTCTTTTACTGGTCACATTCTTGTGTATATTGCATTTGCATGACTTTGTCTAATCAAATCAAAAGTTTTAGTCTGAAAATGTTACATCAGTAGTCAGTTAATCTGTGAAAACAGCAGAACAAGAATAATGTTGTTTTGTGTCTTTAAAAGTCATCGTAACATTTTTAATTCACCCCTTGTGCCTGTTTTTGTGGAATTATTATATTCCCAACATCTCTTTGTATTACAACAAAATTTTTGCTTTTTGTGTCTGACTTTTTCTCTTTTTTTGGCTTTGAGTGGTCCATTGAAGGTTTATTGTCATTTGCTCTGCCAGTATCATCTCAGCACTGATATATCCCTCATAATCCTCGACAATCCAGATGCTGATCTCTGCCGCACCTGTGTCACAGTCAGGCATTATAAGTGGTACATTGTCTCTGGATTTGGATGTCATTTGCCAAAAACACCTCTGCTGAATATGACTTGTGCTGTTGTCGTTTTTTCCACTGTGAAATAATGCAAGATATTAAAATGTTTTACATTTCCTCTTAAACAAATTTGTGAGTGGTTTCTGCAATTATTGACCCATTTGGACTTTGAGATTTATACCAGGAGAGCAGCAACACCTCCTTCTGTTTTCGATGCTGTCTGGGGGCCATGATGTGGTAAATCTTGAATGATCCCTCTCGACCCCTGAAGGACGTCCTGCTGCAGCAGAGGCCTGCTGGATTGGCTGACTCCAGCACTGCCCACATGGGCTCACATTTCACTCAGTCTGCACACCATGAAACAGACTGAAATAGCTGTCTCATGCTGACCTATAACAGGATGTGGTTGGAGGTAGACTTGGAGCAGCAGAAAGTGACTGCAGCAGCAGGCTTGTGGCTGGAAATTCGGGACCCAGCGAAAGCAAAAGCCTCCAGCTCTCGATAAGTCGTGTTCTTTCGGGGATCCATGCATAGAATCCAGCTGAACATGTTTTCAAGTCAACCTCCGTTCTCAATCTGTTTTGAGATAACAGCAGTGTGCTGCTATTGACTCAACCTCTCCAAAGTTCTGTGTGAGCTGACTTCCAAAGGAGGGCAGCAGAGAGCCTCAGTTGTGCTCAAGACATCACGTGATGATCTAGGCCTCAAAGCACAGGACACATCACAAAACTAGCAGTGCTTTGCTTTCAGATCTTCGCGTTCGATCTTGTTCAAATTCAGATGTTCTTTTTTGATGTCCTGACTTTCTTTCTCCCTGCATCGGCTGACCGAGCCATCTCAGTATAAGCTAAAAGAAGACCAGGATATTACGGTCATCATGGACAAGAGCTCTGGTCTCCAACACCGTGGTTGCCTGAGTCCAGAGGGCACACTGAGAGAGATCCAGATCAACCTACTGGAGTGCAAAGTCTGCTTCGAGATGTTTAACTCGCAGCAGAGAGAGCGCAGACCACAGAACCTTTCCTGTGGTCATGTTCTCTGTCTGGAATGCATCACAGCTTTGTCCCACCCTCTCCTGAGGAAGCTGGAGTGCCCATTCTGTCGACAGCTGTGCAGTGTTGACAGCACCTCCCACTGTCAAGCTCTCATTGACTTGCAAGAGCTCCTGTTGTCCTCTGCTCCTCCTCGCAGGGGAAGAGGAGGCGTAATCCCTGCCAGGGGTCTGACCTGTGCATCTCTGCACCTCCGCACTGTGTTTGGAAGTTGGGGGAGTTTCATAAACCCCACTGGGATAGCAGTTTTGGGGTCTTCAGGGACAGTAGTTGTGGTGCATGACGGAGAGAAGAGGGTGATGGTGTTCAGCTTACAGGGAAAGAAGTTGAACAGCTTTGGGAAAAGGGGGAAAACCCCTGGGGAGATCTGTTACCCGGTGGATGTTGCAGTCACTCCCACCGGTTACGTTGTGTTGACCGATGCAGGGGACAAAACCGTGAAGGTTTTCACCTCCAGGGGGAATCACATGCTGACGGTTACAAGTTCCTTCCAGATGCCTTGGGGTGTGGACACAGATAGCTGTGGGCACATCCTGGTCTCAGATGTCCTAGCTGGCACGCTATCCCGGGTAAAAGTGGACTATAACCACTGCGTGGTCCTGGAGCATCAAACAACTATCTCTGACCTTCTGGGCCCCAAAGCTGTGGCCTGCTGTCAGATGACAGGGAACACTGCAGTGATGGAACACCCAACTGAGGTTGCACATCCAACAGAGAGGCACCAGTACAGAAGACTGAAAGTCTTCTCAAAAGACTTCCATCTCCTCTACCAGATAGACGGTTTCAGTCTGATGCTCCAGTCCTCGGTGAGGCTGAACATGTCAGCTGTGGTGTTTGACAGAGATGGAGACATGATAGCCATTGACTCTGATCAGGGGTTGATTTGTAGTTTGGCGAAGCTCCAGAGTGGCCCTGTCTTAACTCCCCTTGTGGGGGACCGTCTCATCCGACCTGTTGGCTTAGCACTGCTGAACAACATGCTCATCATCCTGGATGGTGGCGACCACACTGTAAAGATTTATTCTCAGAAACCTGATACTGGATTAGTAATTTAGCTAATGCATGTGGAAACCAGAGTTAGAGCGTGCAGTAAGAGAAAATCAACAAAGTGAGCATACGAGTCCCGAAAAGAAATAAAGTTTTGATGTTTTGCATCATGTGTGTATAACAAACTAGATGCACTTTTCAGCTTAGGTAAGCGTTCAGGGTTATGAAACCTTCGTGTTGTTCTTATTTTGCTGTGCTTGTGAAAATCACATGTATCTATTTCATAATATCCCAATAAATCATGTACAATGTATGCTCGAAAGCCTTCAAACACACTCCATGAAAAGTCTCAGAGGCCCTAAGGTGAAAATCAATTCAAACATTTCAAATGGATTACTACTACTTTAATCGTGCGTGGCCACCCACCAGTATGCTAGCTTTAAATTTTGTCTTGTTTGAAAGCATGGGGATAGGTCTGTCTGTCTGTGCTACACATAAAAATATAAGGATTAATTAGATAATACGTTCTTGGTGACCTTGTTTGAACAGATTAAATGACAGCCAATGGAAGCAGGCTTATTTAGGCTGTGCCAAAGCATAAATTCACTTTCTTTCAGCTTTGGGTAAGTTTTGGTTCTGGGGGAGTAAAGGTTACATGACTTTTTCGATGTGCAAAAATGGGCCAGTGTTGTTTGGGAACTTGGCACATTTACCCAGTTTTGTCTCAATTGATTTCAATCTTAATTAGATTGTTAGATTAGATAGTTAGTGGCCTGCTGGAATTGGACCAGGACAGGGGGGACAACCATGCCACATAAGTTGAGATCCTATAGCGCATTCTTAACTTTGTTTGGGTGCTACTAAGTGCTTTTTATCTTAGATGTGCACTTTCTACAATGACTTAATAATTGACTTGTGGAAAAGTGGGTCTCACAGTCTCTAGGATGCATTTAGACAGGTGGAAACCTTTGGGTGGAATCACAACCTCCTTGAAGAAAGTGGCTGACCTCACCTCAGGCCGTTTCTTTTTTACTTAAAGAAAGAAAGACATGGTTAAAACAAAAATTTAAAGAGATGTGAGATAATGTCACTGACCTGGATGGACAGAGACTGTTCTGATATCTGATGAAGAGTTGCAAACAAATGGACAATTACAATAAAAAAGTCATCACACGTGTATTGATTTTGGTCGTGATTATGATTCTTGAATTTTTTTTTTTTTTTGCTTTTACAAAAAGACAAACAATAATATTATTATTTTTAACTTTTCGGGGACACAGGTTCAAGAAAATAAAACGTTTCAGACAAACGGCGCGTGCTCCCTTTTTAAATTTTTTTTAAAATTTATTTGAGCTAGCTGTGTGCATGTAAATGTGCCTGTCATGTCATGCGGCCCCGCTTCGCCCCGCTTCGTCCACTGGTTCCTCCGCCCGTCCAGAGACTCTCCCCTCCCCGGCTCTGCCTGCCCAGTCCGCCAGAGGAGAGCAGTCGTGCTCCCAGTGGAAGATGGCGCTGGGGATGCTGTCTGGGACCGGAGCGGAGAGCTCGACTTGCTCAAGAAGAAAACCCGGGTGGATTTAAAAAAAGAAGGGGGGGTGGGGGGGGAAAAGAATACCTTAATCCAATGAATTCTGGTCGAGGTGTGGACTCTTTTGGAGTGTTTTAACAAGTGTCCGCAGCCCGTATTTCCTGGCCGAAAGCCGGGCTTGTGCTCGGGGATTCGGAGACTATACATTGATAGCTCGGCGCGTAGACTGGGTGGGAGTGAAAAGTGGACGAAAAATGTCGGATACAAAGGTAAAAGTTGCAGTGAGAGTTCGGCCCATGAACCGCAGGGGTAAGTGACAAAGCGACGGTCGCCGCTTTTCAAACTCCTTTCTGTCCTCTTGGATTTATGCCACATTGTAAAGTTTTTGTTGCTTTCTTCGCCATTGCCGCTTTGACTCTATGAGTTCTGAGGCTCAAGTCATGCTTGAGGGTAGCCTCTACACGGCCGAAGGGGCTCCGACTGGACCGCTCACACCCCCGCGCTCCGCTTTACTTTCCGCCAAACTTCTCTTTTGCAGAGATTGAGCTGAACACCAAATGCGTCGTGGACATGGAGGACAACCAAACAGTTCTGCACCCTCCGCCCTCCAACGGGAAGGGAGAAAACAGGTAAACAATGCCGAAAAGCTGCCAAGAGTTTGCATTTCCAACGTGTGCACATCCCCATCTGTGTTGGGAGCGGTTCGGCTGGTTTCTTGGTTTAGGCTGTTCCCAGCAGAAGTCCTGTCAGCTGGGAGTGGAGCAGAGCAGGGCCCGGGGTGAACCGCCTGTCAGGGAAAGAGCAGAAAAACACACTATCTGCTGTAATATAACAACACTAAAAGATTGCCAAGTAGCCTTCTACCCTCTGACACAAACGGGACAAATGAGTCATCAAAAAACAACAACAGTGGAACAGGACCACATGCACTTGAGTATGAAAAACTGCGATTTAAGTTAAAAACATCCCTTTCGACAACAGGAATGCCACTGAGCAAATCAAGTGGAATGGGTCGGGGTCACTGCACACTCATCTCCACTCCTCTCTAGAGCGTTTTGCACATGTGATATCTGATATTTGCGGTTGAGCTCTGCCTCATTCCCACTTTTATCAATAGTCCTTGGAATGCCTGGACAGCTTCACCGGAGCCCACTTATGCCCAAGTGACGTGACATCATAAGGAAAGGCCCGCTCCTCGCTCTGTATGTTCCAGAGGTGGATGACATTTGTTGGGGAGAAAAGCAAAGATGTCTGGAGAAAGCGTTCTCTAGACATTTGCTACAGGATTGTGTGCAGGAACTGATGTATAAAATATTTGATAAACAGTATTGTGCTCTGTTTAAACCGAGCAAAGCATGGCAGCCAGCGCTGGTCTGAAACGGAAAACACATAGAACCATCATCTGATGCACAGCCCCATGAGCGATCAGGGCCGAAGAGTCCGATTTGTCATCAGAAGACCACCCGTCAGATCTTTACTGAGCCCTCAGTGAGGCATGGTGACGGCAGTGGCATCCTGTGGGGTTCATTCTGCACAAAAGAGATGGAAAGGTGGACGGATAAGAAGCATCCAGCCAAGAAAACACGCATAGGCAAGCAGTTTCTAAAGATCTCTCCCAGGTCCCGGAGTGGTGCAGTAAAAAGTGGAAACCTGAACCCGGGGAAGCAAAGGGAACTGGTTCCAAACTGGTTTTGGTCGAGGATTTCAGTCAAATGCAAGACTGAGCGAAACGTCCAAATGAAAGGCATCCCGATCTAGGGGAGGTAATTCCCAAGAAGATTTGAGGCTGCCAAAGGCGCTTTAACTAAGCAAGTGCAGAGTCTAAATAGTTAGTAAAACAGGGTATTTGAATGCTTTCTATAATTGTTATTAGCAGACCATTGTGGATAATTATTGGCTTATTTATGGGGGGAAATTACATTCATTAGTTTTGGTCTAAAATTTAAATGACAGAAGGCAGGGATTTGAAAAAAACTTTAAGTGAGACTGTTTGCCATGAGGACGTCTATTGGATTGAACAGATTAATGTGGCGCCTCGGGGTATTACAGTAAATCTCCAGAGCCAGAGCTAATTTATGCTGCTTTGCCTTCAAATTGCAGTCAGAGCACGCTATTGCTTACCGATTTGTCACTAACGCTGCACGCTTTATCGAGATGTTTCATGCCCTACATTGAGCAAAAGCTCCTTGGGAAAAGGAGCCCCCCCCCCACGGCCCCTAACAACACACTGAAACACACCAAAAAAAAAAAAAAACGTCAGTTTCTGCTGCTCTCAGATCTGGCACGCTCTCCCCAGCATGCGGCATCGGACGGCTGTGGATTTTTCCGCCCGTTTGCATTGGTCAGAGGCGTCCTAGCTCACCCGGTCGAGCTGAAGGCTGTTCCTGCCACTCTGCCCGGGGTTCGCTGGCCCTCGTCTGCTGTCGTTGTCACACTTGATTAGACACCTGACCTGATTATTCATAGACCCACAAAAAATCCAATGGAATTCCAATAGGGAGCTAAAAAAAAGTAGAACTGTGTGTTTCTTCTTTTTTTTTGTTTTTTGTTTGATTGGTTGTTGGGAATGGAGAAACCGCTCCTCGGGCGACAGAGAATGAGCAGAGTGGGACTGCTGATGGTGAAGTTAAGGCATGGAGGGTGACATCCAGCCTTGTTAAACTGCAGCACTTTCACTGCTGCTCCGGGCAGCTAATAGTCGGCATTAAATGATAACGAGCCCGCTCGGTCAGCAGCTCGGGCCCTCGCACTAACCTGTATTTAAGGCAATTATAAGAGCACAAACTGCCACACAATGGCAGCGTTCCAGGCCATTCAACAAATCTCCCCCAAAGTTAACATAGGTGGAGACGGGAGGCGAGCAGCAGAATTCAGAGGTCAGATGTGTTCGCTACTGTCATTCACATTTCAGCTTCCGGCAGAGGATTTGCTGTTTTGAAAATCTGACCCCGGGTTCCTCCGCTGACCCCAGTTTCATCCTGCCGCCATGCTGATGCAGCACCACCAGCTCTTTCCGGGGACTCACAGAATTCAGTTTCACTTTCTCCAGTTTCATCAGTCGAAGAGCTTATTCTGAGTCGTTGTAAACTTTTCTAATAATGGGGGGGGGGGTCTTAGCGTTGTCCAGGCCGTAGCTGCTCTGTGGCAGCTGTGATCTCTGTTCGCCTTTTTGAAGACGCAGTTCTATTACATGGTGCAGCTCGCTCGTGTAATTATTTGCTAACATTTTGGTACTGTGTGTGTTTTGGGTCTGGGTGTTTAGGCTGCGTTGGTTTTCTGAAACCATGTAATTTTCTTTCTTGCTGCTGGCGGAGCCGCAGAGGGGGATACCCCGGATTACTGAGACGCTGCCATGTTTTGAGGACACCTGTTCCTGTGTGTTTGAAATGTGTCAGGTTTAGTGGGTATTAGCATGTCAAAAATGGCTGCAGGGCCAAAACCATGGGAATTTTCCCCCTCTCTCATGGGAATGCTCAAGCGCAGCCCCAGAAAGGGAACACATACTCTGATGTTGACACTATTTGGGCTTAAATCTTTGCC